GCCCCAGATGGCCTGGAACTCACTATGTAGACCAGGCCGGCCTTGAACTCAGAGATTCGCCTGCCTTTGTCTCCTGAATGCTGGGATTAAAGACCTGCGCCACCATGCTCGGCTAATAATTTTTGAGTAAATTATGATTAGAAGAAAACATGTTTACCTGACAGAGTAGAATAAAATCCCTAAACATCCTAAATGAGAAAACCTTTATTGTCATCCCTTTGAAAATTGGTAAGTAAGAAGAGAATGTCTTCCCTGACTGTGTCTATTTAACACTGTACTGGAGATCCCAGCTAATGAGGAAAAAGAACCTGGCTCAGCATGATGGCACACATCTTTAATCTCAGTATTCAAATCTCTGAGTTTGACCAGACTAGTCTACATAGCAAGGTCCAGGTCAGCCAGGGCTACACAGTGACACCTTGTGTTAAAAAACCAAACCAAACACACACACAGAGAGAGAGAGAGAGAGAGAGAGAGAGAGAGAGAGAAACTTTGAATCCAAGTATTGGAAGGAAAAATAAAATGCTTGGATTGGGAGTGTAATCTTGGATACCAATGATTTACCAGAATTGACTTTGGAGACACTGCTTTACCTAAACTCTGCTGAAAGTATGCTCAACCATGCCCAACAGCACCTCTGGTCAAAACCTCATGAATATCTACCTGGCAAAAGTTCCATAGGTGTGTAGACAAAGGAATGCAGTGTCCCCACCCCAAATTAGACAAGGAAATAACACGCTGCTCACAATGCCTTGTTATGCTCAGCTAGTTTTGATTGTAGTAAACAGATTCTTTGTTTCAAAATAACATACCTAAATGTCTTGAGGCAGTTTTCTCAAGACTGACTGCAAGAACCAAGAGTCACATTGTTTGCTCTGCTTACACAAGTTGAAGCAATGAAAACCCAGTGGAACAGGAGGTCAGGGCCACTGTTCCCTCAGTGGACAGCCTCCTGGTGCTGTGGAGATTCAAATTAAGAGTTGTCTTTCCTTCAAGCTTTCCTGTCCCACTTTGAGAATTCTCTCAACTCCTGCCACACTAGACGTAACAATGTAGCTCATTGGTAGAGCATATGCTTAATACCTGTAGGCCCTTGGACAACTTCCAGTATCAAAACATAAAATAATTCTTAACTAAAAAATGAAGTTTATTATAGCTTATTATACAGCATAGAAAATATCAGATTGTGAGGAGTCAATCTATAAAAGATGCCTATAGAAAAAATTATAAAGTTGCATAATTGGGCCAGTGAGATAGATAGATGAGCTGGTTAAAGGGGCCAAGCTTGAATGTCCTGACCCACCCACATGGTGGAAGAAGAGATCTGACACCTGCCAATTCTCCTCTGACCTCCACATGTGCACCCAAAAAATGTAATACAAATTTAGAAATGAGTTCTGAATATACGGATAATTAAATACTTAGAAAATGAAAGACACAATTGTGTAATTATGAATTTCCAGTATAGGAATGGTAACAAAACAAAACCAAAATCTCAAGATTTGGTCATAGAACTTGATAATTCTAAAAGTTTAATTAAATTCTAAAATCTACAGAGCTATTTCTATTTAAGAGTAAATTCAAGAGTAAAGGGCTGAACAGACCCAGGTATTTTTCACTGTGAGGTCATCAGAGGGGGTGACTAGAGAGGAGGCACCTAATCTTTCCTGATGACAAAACTTTCCAACTGTGGCAGTATTTGGATTTTGTTTGGAGGCAATTATTTTTAAAGCAGTTTTTCAAAGACTGAGCTAATACCCAGGATCTTTGATTTTGGTGTGCATTTAAACTTTCCCATGGCTGTGAATAAAGCGCAAATGTATACCAGTATCTTTGGATAACTCCAAAGAGATCAGCTATCTTACTTGTTTCTTCTGCTTCCTAGTGGGTGTTTAATAGGGCTAAACTTGGTAAAATAATTATCAATGAAGAGACTTTGATAGAATGCATGAATTGCAGGAGAGCCATAAGCTTCATTAAGGGAAACCATAAAACTGTAAATATCTTAAAGTGGCCAACTGGTCCTAAATTGGCATTCTGGCCTAGCTCAAGCCTTATCAACTGGAAACTCCCACAATTGAAGGAGATTGTTTATGGAGCCAACCTGTCTCTTTTAGTGCCCTAAGATAGCTCACCTGCTCTGCCTGAGAATGTAATCTTGGAGGAGGATTTTCAATCACCCAATACAGCAGACCCTGGAACAGAGCAAATTCCATTAAAGCTGTATTTAGTAAAATTCATATAAAAACTCAAAGATCCTTTCCTTAGTTGCAGATGCCTTCCCAAGGGAAGGCTTCTGTCCTTTGCTGTGATACCTTAAATGAAAGACACATTCCTTGTTTGTTGCTGGTCTGGCTTTGGCTCTTATTCCTAAACTCCAAACTCCATTCCTTTTCTCCTCTCCTAGAATCTAACAGACGATATTTTAGTTAGTTCCAAAAGTGAATATTACTTTGCCAGACAAATTAGATCTGTTCGGGCATACAGATACTTGTGGCAACTGCCTGAAGAACTGCCTGGGTTCACGGCTCCTCACTAGGTACTTAAAAAGAGAACCATGAGCTTTCTCTTTTCAAATTTATCTCATCAAAATTGCTTAAAATTTTTTTTGAATTTTTGTGTATTTCATACAGAAAATCGTCTTTATACCCCCTTCCCCTTTGCCCCTCTCCCACAGCCCCCCCCACCAGAATTCATACATTCTATCATTTATGTTAAGGCCTATAATGTAAAATTAGTGTCCCCAGATATCCCTCAGATCCCAGTTCAGCCACTGGGATCTAGTCAGCCTACGTAGAGACCCTTCAAGATCAGCTCTTCCTCACCCAGCAGTAATTAGCTGCCAATAATTCTTCGACTAAGACTGGGGCCCGCTGTTCATTTCCACTGTCTGCTTGAGTTTGCATGGGTCTTGTGTATGCTGACACCATTGCTGTAGATTCATATGAGAAGGGTCCCAAGAGTCCATAGGCCTCTATTTGCATATGATCATGTACCTCCTCCCTGGCTCTTATAATCTTTCTGTTCCCTCTTCCTCACTGATCCCTGAGCCCTGAGTGGGTGGATTTTAATATAGGAGTCCTATTCAAGGACCCACACTCTGCAGACTCTTATTTTCTGTGTTTTGACCATCTGTAACCTTTTGCGTTCCTGGGCCTCTGTTGCATGAGGGAACTTCATTGATGAGAATTGAAAGATCCATTTAATATTCTCTTCATCCCTTGTTCTACTGAGCCTTAGGTGTAGAGGTTGCATCCTAGATGTGCCACTTAGGCTTGGGCAATTCGCAGACAATCTCTGTGTGTGACCATTTGTAGAACTTCATATCTCTGTCTCTTGAAAAAGACCTTTCTTTGATGGGTGGTGACTGGGATATGTGTCCATATATTTAAGGATCCATATTTTGCACACAGTAAGAAATTACATTTGTCTAGGGATGTGAGGGCCTTAGGGTTTTCGCTACGATCTATGACCTCTCCAACTATGTGTTATTTGGCTAGGTTTACAGTACCACACATGAATTTTCTCCCATTGAGTGGGCTTAAAAGTCCAACTAGGTAGCTGCTGATTACCCCCAAGATAAAAGTGCCACTACTGTACCTATGTCATTTGCTGTGCCGCTGGTCACTGATATGGTTCTTAGGCCTTGAAGCTGGGGTTGTACTGTGGATTGCTGTACCAGCTTACATAGTGCTCTCCAAAGCTATGAGAGCTGGCCTTCAGGAGAGGTGGCTTCTAGGTCAGTTCTAGCTCCATTGGTCCAAATTCTGTGCCGAAAGTATGTGTTGTCTTCAGCAACAGGGTCTTACCATCAAGTTCTGGGAGGTAATCAAGGACGATGGCAGTAGACTGTGTAATTTTGGGAGTCTCTTGGACTACCCTGGCCAACAGCTCAAGGGAAGGTTTCTCCTGTCTGGCACTACAAAATCACTTTTTTTTTTTTTGGTGTTTTTGAGACATGGTCTCCCTGTAGTCCCAGCTGGCCTACAACTCCCTATATCGACCAGGCTGGCCTCGAACTCACAAACCTCCAACTGCTTCTACCTCCCAAGTGCTAGGATGAAAGGCATGTGGCACCAAACCCAGCTCAAAATCAATTCTTAAATGCACCTCATTTATGCATCTCACATAAAGGCAAAGAAGTCAAATATCTGGGATAAGTAAACTAAGTTAACCCTTTTAACAAAAAGCAATGAATTTTCCTTCAAAACTAATAGTACATTCAACATATTTTAATACTGACTTCATTCAAAATTTCTGGACTATGCACGTGCGTATGAAGTGTGTTATTTATGAAATATTTGCATACATTTCACATATAAAACGTTTTAAAAATTTATATTTTTATGTGTATGAGTATATTGCATGCATGTAGTAATGCAGAGGTCAAAAAAGGGCATCAGAACCCCTGAAACTGGAGTTAGGGATGGTTATGTGGGTACTGGCAACCAAACCCCGGTTCTAGGCAAGAAGTCTTAACCCCTGAACCATCTCTCCAGCCCTCAACAAATATTTATAATGACCTCAACAGGTATTTTAATTTCATTCAAAAATGACTGGATGGATTTAGTATTAACAGGAAAAGTCGCATGCCAACGAGTTTTCCCAGTGGGAACACGCACTGAACATTACAAAGATAATGACGCAACTCTGCGGGCAGAGTACACTCCCGAACAGCTTCAACAGAGGTTTTCTTTTCTTTTTTTTTCACAAGGACTCGCAGCCATGCTCCTTAGTAAATCTCGCAGCTAAGGTTTGCGGGGAGCCTCCTGAGTCGCTGGACGGCGGGGGCTCGCAGGAACACTACCCCACACCGGCCCCTCCCGAATCGGTACCACCCTGTCCTGCTACCAGGCAGCCGCCTCCGCCGCCTCCCGGAGCCCCGTAGAAGCCCGCCCCTGGAGATGATTGACGGACAGCCTCCACCAATGGCTGGCACGCTCAGGTCCGGCGGGCTGGGCGAGGGCCGCGGCTCGCGGAGGAATCTCGCCGGGCTTTAGTCCCGGGCTGGGTGTTGCGGCAGGCGCCATCTTCTCGCGCTCTCTGGCTCGGGTGTCGCCATGTTGGTGAGGAGCCATCGCCGTTACGGCCACTGTGCAAACCCCCGCGTCGCTACTCGGCGCCGCCCGCTCGCTCCCACGCCTCAGCCTCCGACGGCGAATAGAGACTAGAGCGGCAGCGCGAGCCGTGCGCGGTGTGTGCCGTCAGAGCCGCATCTCTGGCGTGCTTGTTAATAGACTGGAAAGTCTGTGTGTGTCGCTCACTAGTAACCGTGAGTTTTTACCACGTCGTCACCGTCGGCGGCGGCCGGGAGCAGGTGCCCGCAGGCGGCGCAGGGGTCCCCTCGCGCCCCGCCGCCGCCGGCCTGCAGACCTGCCCTCCACCCCGCCCCGTTCTTGACCAAACATGACAGACTCTGAACATGCAGGGCACGACAGGTCGGGAACCCTTGTCTGTCTGTCTGTCGGAGGAGAGGAGGGGCGGGCGGCGGGAGCGGGCCGGGGCCGCGCGCCTCCTGCATGACTCGACGTCGGTGTGTGGCTCCCGCGCTGCCGGGCCGCACAGCTCCGAGCCGGGGTCGCCCCTCGCCGCCCCGCCCCCGCCAGGCACGTGCAACCCCCTCTGCGGCCCGGCGGCTGGGCGGCGGCCCGCAACCCGTGTGGGCGGCCCAGTTGAACGCTGACGGGTCGGATGTTTTGACTAGTCGAGTCCATCTCTGAAAATAAACATGTTTAGTTTTTAGGGGGGCAAAAAAAACCCAGCCAGCCCCCAGGCCCTGTGTCAGCCTCAGTCCTGCCCCCTAGAATGTGAAAGGACTTCAGTGCAATAGGTTAGTTAACACGGAATAGACTGCAGATTTGACTGGTAGTGAATTGCCTTGATCACTTACAGTTTGAATTTTTCCATTTTAATCTGGCTATGCCTCAGGAGGCATGTTCTTGGTTCCATTCCACGGTTTCGTGGCATTTTCAAAGTATACCCCAGCATACTTGAGTTGTGGCTAGATTTCAAATTTACATTCATGTCTTAAATCACTTTTTTAAAGGTGGAGGGTCGAAGGAAACTTATAACCCTGGAGCAGAATACCTTGCATCAGATTCCTACTTAGAACATTAACTTGAAAATTAGATCCTCACAATCAAGGCTTTGTGCATAATAGTCAAAAGAATACATTGTATTCTAGTGTAGACCATAAGATTTAAGAATTGCTGAAGTGTTTACCAGTGGAATGTGATCTGCTTTTCATAAAGTATTGGCAACACTCTTCATTACTAAATCCAGAAGCAAGAGAATTACATCATTGACATTTGAAATACCGAAATACATGGAAACTTCAAAAGGATAAAAGTCTAAAACAACTTCAATAATTAATAAAAATTCAGCAATCAAACATTGTAGCTATGTTTAGATAGTCAAATGCACTCTTAAAATTATAGATTCATAAGCTTGTAATTGACACGGTTTTCGTTATTTTTTAAAAAATACCATCTTTGTGAGGTGCTGGAGATTGGACCTAGGGCCTCTTGGGTACTAGGCAAGCACTCATCCACAGTCCAGTGTATCTTTTTTTAAAATTATTAAAAGGACAGTTCTTAGAACTGATAAATGTTGAAGAGTCTGTTGATAAACCAATGATAGTGGATTTTAGACTGCATTAGCAAAACTATAATATGAAAAGAAATCTCATTTGTTAAAGGCAGAACATGTAGAATTACATATTCTACGTAGTGAAAAAATGATGTCCTCAAATTTAGTAGTCAAGGAACTGTGGTATCAGACTTGTTTGAGATAGTGTTTCACTTTCTAGACCAGGCTGGCCTCAGAGATCTGCCTGTGTCTGCCTCCTGAGTGCTGGGATTAACGGTGAGTACCACCATCCCCTGCTGATACTAGACTTTAAAAAATTATTTTTATTTATTTTTTTGGTCTTTTTGACCCAACTGGCCTGAAACTTGGTATATAGACCAAGCTGGCCTTGAACTCACAGAGATCCACTTGCTTCTGCCTCCCAAGTGCTAGGATTAAAGGCACACCACTCCCTGCTTGATAGTAGACTTTTAAAAGAATTTGAGGCCTGATGTGGCAGTGTAGACCTGTAATCCCAGCATTCAAAGGTGGACTATACAGCGAGACCCTGTTTTTGTTTTTTGTTTTTTTTAAAGTAGAATTTGAAGTTTTAAAATACTAATTTAAAAGTTAAAATGAAACTAACTTGTAGGGTATAGTAACAGTTTAGTAGTAGGAAGTAATAATTAGCATTTTTTTTTTTTGTTTTGGGATACAGAAAATATTTCTAGTTAGCTTAATTTTAGCTTACCCAGTTGTCAAGTGGTGTTATTTCATCAAAAAGATTATTTTCTTCACTTTATTTTTTGGTCAACTCACATGAAAAGAATTATATCAAGAAACTGAACTAGTTGGGTGTGGTAGTTCACACCTGTAATCCCAGCACTCTGGAGGCCAAAGAGGATTACCATTCAAGGCCAGCCTGAGAGCTCTCAAAAAACAAAACAAACCCAAGAAAACAAGGAGTCCAAACGGTTTTTGCTGTAGCCTTGCAGCCATTTAGCTTTGTGAACTTGAACAGCCAATTTCTTAGCTTGTAACAAACTTCTCTAAGATTTTCAAATTCCATCAAATCAGTGTTTCTCAGATTACCTTGTAGGGCGGTTTTTTTTTTTTTTTTTTTTTTTTTTTAAAGTAGTATTTCCATTGATGTGGGCCCAGCCTGAGTTTTTTAAGATGCTCCTCAGGTAATTCTAATATGTGCTAAATTGAGACTCATTAGGTAAGTGTTTCTCAATCTTAACTCATCATCAGACCTACTTTGATCCAAAATAAAGATTTTTGTGCTACCCAGAACAATTTGAATAAAAATCTCTAGGGTAGGTTTGTAGCTATCTGTATTATTAATAGATTTCTAGTTGATTCTAAAATTTGGGAGAAAATGAACTAATTGTGGTTTTCTCAAATATTTTCTGCTTCTACATTATAGGTATTTTATACTGTAATCCAAGTTTATGTGAACTAGGTGGAGAAGAGTCTGAAATTTGGCATAGAACTAGGCATTTTCACAAAGATATTTTTTTCTATCACTTGAATATTAAAGTATTTTATGCATTCCGGAAAAAGTGAAATCTTGTAGCTGATTTTATAATTACAAGAGAAAGATGATCTAATATAAATGGAATTCATAGAATACGTAACTTTTTCTCCTTTAAAAATTATGTTCTTGGACATGTGTTATATAGTGACTGCTTTGTAGAAGAGCTGTTTGCCATATGAATACTTTTTGAAAATACACATTTGAGAGTCAAGAGTGTTGGTATACGCCTGCAAATCTCAGCACTCTGGAGAGTGAGGCTGGGATATTGCCATGAGTTAAAGGCCAACCTGGGCTACATAGTGAGAGCCTGGTTCTAAAAAACAAACCCCAAAACAAAGAAGGAAAACTATCCAATTGGTGTACTTTCAAATTTTATTTCATGTGTATGAGTGTATTGCCTAAATTTATGTAAGTGTACCCATGTCATGCAATGTCTGTGGAGGTCAGAAGAGGGGTGTCAAATTCCCCTGGAACTGGAGTTACAGGTGGTTGCATGTAGGTGCTGAGAACTGAACTCCAGTCCTCCGCAAAAGCAGCCAGTGCTCTTAACTACTGAGCCATCTCTCCAGCCCCTACTTTAATATTTTAATGCTTGGAGCAAAATTTATGTTTTTATAAAGTGTTTTAAACATAATAATACCTATAAATAAACTTGTAGATATGTAGAATGCTAGAGTACTTCTGCACAAGTCTCAAGCCCAATTTCTAAAAGTCTTGAGAGAAAAATAAACAGAGAGGAAGAAGTTGGGGGAAGTCAGAGGGAGAGGGGTACAGTTCTTTTCTGTTTTCACTCAATTCCCTTCTATTCACTTCTTTCAGGCACAGCACCACCAGTGTAGCATTATGCTTCAGTGAGATGCTGACCTAATTTAAACAATAACTTTTGTGTGTAATGCTTGATATTAAACCTATTACCTCATGCATGCAAGGCAAGACCCCTAACAGTGAGCTGCACTCCCAGCCCCACAAACACTTTGAAAATCAAAGTATTTTATGCATTCTGGAAAAAGTGAAATCTGAAGGCTAAATGCTGAGTTCATACCTCAGACACGTAAATATAACCCAACAGCTATTGTTGAATTTTCTGAAATACTCTATAATTGTAAAAAATGTTCAGGGACTGTATTGGAGGAAAAGATCATTTTAATATAAACTCAATATAAAAGCTTGTAGGCCTCAAAGAGTTTTTTTTTTTGTTTTTTTTTTTTAACTTGATTAGGGTATGGACAATAGTTCCATTGGTTTGGAGGTTACGCTTTCCTCATTATGAACAACTTCTGTTCTCCTCCCCTTTCTCCTCCCTTTCCTCTTGTAAAACAAGAACAAAACTCCATCTAGTTAAAATTGTAGTTAGTGGCTTAACAACCTCTCCCAGCCTCCCAAATGAATTGAAATCTTGCCAGGAGACTTCACTGGAGTTTGTCAAGTAGATACATGCATATACAGAAACCCCAGGAAAACGAAGTGGCACAGTAGTTCGGGATGATCAAAGTGTAAATATGCAGTGTAGAACTACTAGGGAAAATGGGAGGAAGGTTTGTGTTATTCTGGCCCAAGTAGCTTTTAAAAAGAGTCCTAATTATTCAGAGTATACCATCCAGTGACATAAAACGCAATCACAGTTTTTTCACAAAGTTGACACAGAGGCAAAGAACCTAGGTTTGGAGCTCTCATGTTCTCAGTATGTTACATATATCACAGTTTAATACTTTCATTTGTTAATGTGTGGCTACAGCAAGTATTAGTATCGTGATTTCATAGTTTAGGAACAGACATTGAGGGTAAATTGCTTGTCTGAAGGGAGAACCATGACCTGTCTGTAGCACTCAGTTTCAGTACTTCAGCACCTGCCGCATTGCTTTAAAATGATATTCTGAGCTGGGTGTGGTGGTGCATGCCTTTAGCAGGTGGATCTTCATGAGTTCCAGGCCAGCGGGGACTACAGGGAGACCCTGTGTCAAAAAGAGCAAAAGAAAAAAGAAAAAAGATCCTCTGATATTGAGTACTAGGTGGGGATATTGGAGTCTTAGAAAAGTTTGGAGAATATGGATATTCCTGAATTATACGTAATTATGTCTTATTTATAAATTCATCCTTTATGATACCTTTGTCTAAATCCTAAAATACACCCTTTTCTAAATTTTAAATATAAAGATTGAGTTTATGTATACATATATATATATATATATATTTTTTTTTTTTTTGAGCTGAGGACTGAACCCAGGGCCGAGTCTACCACTGAGCTAAATCCCAACCCCTCTACTTTATATTTTAAGGAAAGTAAAATCAATTGAATACTGCTAACCAGGCTGCACATTTTTAGCTACAGAAAATACGAATTCTATTGTGTATAAGTTTCAGCCTCTTAAGGGAATTCATTGAAAATGTGCAGAGTAAAACTATACTTTTTTTGCTTACGTTTTTATTATAGGCAGTTGACAATAAAATATTTTAGAGCACTTGTGTGTGGGGTTGAGTTCTTTATAACCTTTGTTGTTAGACTCATAATGGAAGCTATTATCTGATTGCTTCATCCTTCAAATTGATAATTCTATCTTTTTGTTTTGTTTATTGAGACTGGGTTTCACTGTAGCCTGTCTGCCCTGGAACTCACTATGTAGACCAGACTGGCCTACATCTCACAGAGCTCCACTGGCCTCTGCTTCCCGAGTGCTGGGACTAATGGTGTGCACCACCATGCCTATAATTCTATTTTAAATTTTTATTTTGAATGAGCAAATCAAAGTGGAAGTAAATGATCCATTGACATAAGAAATACCCATGTATATTGACTGTACATATATTGTACTAAGTATCTCTTTATTGTTTCCTGAATGCCAAATGGCTAAGTGTGAAAAACAATATGTGAACAAAGATGAAGCCAGAGCTGGTGTCACCATCACAATATACATATCTAGCATATGTGAAAGAAACAGAAATTGTAATACCCAAGGTTCTTGTGAGAAATTTCCATGGTCTCATTTTACAAATACGACATTACAGTGAAGTAACGGTAATTTTTTAGCACTGCCCATTACTAGATTGTCCCTGTGGTTGCACATAGTAGGGTCACTTTCACCTGAGGTAGTAGGATATCAGAAAGTTGTAAGAATTTGTTTCTTGGAATATATATGTATGTGTATGGAATATGTGTGTGTATTCCTCCCATTTATGGGACAAAAAATGATTGTGTATACATAACTTTAGAGGTTTTCCTCATGAAGTTTTGAAGTGGCAAAGTTAATACTTTTAATTTGTCCACGAAGGATATGAAGATTTCCCAGATAAGATTTTTTTTTCCTTGGGCTGGACAGAGAACTCGGCATTTAAGAGCACTTGCTACTTTTGCAGAAGACATAGGTTCAGTTCCTAACATCCACATGATGACCCACAACTGTTTGTAACTCCAGTTCCAGGGGATCTGACACTCTCTTCTGGACTCCTGGGCACTGCTTGTGGGTGGTGCACATATATTCATGCAGGCAAAACATTCATAGACATAAATCTAAAAAATCCCACTTTTTTTATGGAGGATTGATGGAATAAGATTCTAAAAGTTGTAGTGTATAGAATTCATTTAATGTCAAGAAAACCAATATTCTAAACAACAAGTTAGAATTATGACAGTCTGTGTTCTTTGTGTTTTATTAAAGTTTTTGTAATTTATCAGCTCAAAAAAGATGTAATATTCTTCACAAAATCATTAGCTATTGGTTAAATTCATTTTTACATAAAGTAGCTTTCATGATCAGTAATTGTAACATTTTCCTTATGCATTAACATACATTCATACTTCAGCTAGTTGATAAAGTGTCAATAAATAAGGCACAAATAGATTTTCATTCCAAGTTAAACCTAAAAACCTCCTTAACTTGGAATATTCACATTAATAGTAAGTCTAAATGCCCTGTTTATACATATATACATATATATATATATATTTGCCTCATTATACTGATTAGACAAAATAGTAACCAGATAATCAGGCATTCTGATCTTGTGACAGCCAAAAGTTTCATAAATGACTTGACCAAAGCAAACTTAGAAGTAACTTTAGCTGAAAACTTGGGCCAAAGTGTAACTTTAGAGCATTTCCTTAACTCCTCCCAACAAATACCTCAGTTCCCATCACACCTTCAAATTCTGTAGTCTCAATACTGCAAATTTATAGTTAATCTAGCATTAGATGGTAGATTGGGATATTAGATACTTACAGAACAAATGCCTTTTGGAATATTACTAGGTGACAGACAGCTCACCCTGGTTCATTGTAGATCCATCCAACGAAGATTTCTGTAGAATTACTGTATGCAAATGTGGATAGCACAAACTTTTTAATTTAGTGTCATGACAGATTATATGCTGACATTCAGATTGTATGGGAATATTATTTGCTATTTGTTTTTGTGAGTTTCCAGCTTCTCCAGTCTGTAGCAGAGAGCTAAATCAAGAAGGTAAATTGAAAAAGAATAAAAATGAACCAGATCTATTTTAATTAGCTATTTGATGAAATAATATATAAAACAAAAATTAAATAAAAATATTTTAAGTATTAAAAATGTGGTAAGGTATTTCACATTAGTTTTTTTTTTACATAATACCATCTCTATAGCATAAAGGATATTTGAAGAATGTTATTTTTCTTCATGATGCCAGAAATAGAAACTTAAGTATGTATTTAAAAATTACTTCTGAGTATGGTGGCACACACCTGTAATCCCAGCACCTGGATGAGGCCAGAGGATTGCTGTGAGTTCAAGGCCTGGTCTCTCAACATAGGACATAGCAAGATCTAGGCCAGCTATGGCTACATAGTAAATGCTTGAGGACCTGAGTTTGATGTCCAGATCCCATGTGAAAAGAAATGCTGGATGTGGTAGCACATGTTTGTAATCTTGTGCTGGAGATACAGAGACACCTGGCTCCCTGGAGCTCGCTGGCTAGCTAGCCTATTTGGTGAGTTCTAGACCAGTGAAAGACCCTCTCTCACAAAAAAGGTGGCTGGCACCTGAGGAATAACACCTGAGGTGGCCCTCCAGCCTCCACTCATGCACACATGCACATGTCCATCCACACACACACATGCTCACACACAAAATCCTCAAAACGTCTCAGTTTCCTAGCATAACAACACATCTCTGGTTTGTCTTTAATGTTTCTTCTTTCCTTTACTTTCTTAACCTGGAAAATGAAATTGGAGTCAGGAAATTGGGCATTAACACTTTGTTATCCAAAAGCCAATCTATTTGAAACGTTATTGAAAGAACTGTAAATTGTGTGCCTTGTCTTTCCATTTTACTAGACAGTTGCTGTTTACCTTTTTTTTTTTTTTTTTTTTTTTGAAGCAGGGTCTCCCTGTAGCCCCAGCTGTCCTGGTACTCACTATGTAGACCATGCTGGCCTTGAACTCACAGAGATCCGCCTGCCTCTGCTTCCCTAATGCTGGGACTACAGGCATGCACCACCACGCCCAGCTGGTTTACCTTTTTTTAGTTTGGATCTTTGTAAACATCTCTTGTCACAGTTCCTGTGAACATGTGGTGCTGTTTTATTGTTGCTCTGGGGAGACTGTCAGAAGATAGGCTACTGCTAAGGTTGCATAGGGTAAAGTGGAAATATCTTTAGTGACAGACTTGAACTTGGTCTGTCCCTCCTTTGTTTCTGCTTTTCCCTGTTGGAGAAAGCTTTTTATTATTATTGTTTGAAAGAAAATAAGGAAGTTTCTTAGAATCCTTGCTGCTTAGTTTTGTAACTTTTCCCAATTTCTTTTCTTTTTTAAATATTTTTTATTTATTATTTTTATTTTATGTTTATGAGTGTTATGCCTGCATGTAGGTAAGTGCACCAGTGTTGTGCAGTGTCTGTGGAGGACAGAAGAGGCTATCGAATCCCCTGGAACTGGAGATATGGACAGTTGTTAGCTGCCATGTGGGTGCTGGGATTTGAACCTGGGTCTTCTGCAAGAACAGTGTTCTTAACTGCTGAGCCATCTCCTCAGCCCCAACTTTTCCCAATTTCTTACTGTGAAAATACCTGTGATCTAACATACACATTGTATTCAGATATGTCAATTTCAGGCAAATTACCTGGGGAAAGGAAAGTGCTAGGTGATTATCTTCATCTTTAAGTAAATCTGTGATGGTAAAACAATTGATCCCATTTTATAGAGAAAACTAGATGTGAGGGCAATTTGTTTAAGTTCAGTTATGTAGCATATGATTAGGAAGCAGAATTTGAAGACACATTTCTCTTAGAGATTTTTAATCATCTCCTCTACTATGATGTCCTTTTAAGTAACAGTTTTAGCATGATGCCTAACTTTAAAGTTGAGCCCTTTTAAATATCCCTATCTTAATTTCTAGGTACAGGTGATACTACTTTGTAAGAACCCTGGATTCTCATTAAAGAAGGCATGCTTTTTTGTTGATTTTAGTTTGGGTTCTCTTTACCTTCAGGTGGAAATCACTATTGGTAGGCACCTGCTTTACTATGTCCAGTCTTGTTTTTGGACATTTGTGCTTAGTTCTTTTTTGTTTTAATTGACCTCCGAGCCTTAGGAATAGCAGCTGTTTTCATGTCTTTGGGCATTTTTGTCTTTGTCTCTTCTGACATTGGTGTGGAGGCTTTCACCTAGGGGGCTCTTACCTACACCGGAGCACTTTTTATCAGCTTGTCTGGGACCCTGTGATGAAATGGGGTGTGATGGCTAATCCTCACTGTCAGTTTATATGGATTTAGAATCACCTAGGAGACACATCTCTGGTTTGTCTTTAATGTTTCTTCCAGAGAAGTTTAACTGAGGAAGAAAGACCCACCCCAAGTATGGATAGTGCCATCTCATATGCTTGGGGCTCAGGTGAATAAAAGAGAAGACAGAAAATTCAGACAAGCACTGGCATTCCTGTTTCTCTGCTTCCTGGTTGGCACCACAGGCTAAGCTGCTCCTGCCCTGTCCGTTGACACCATGATGGACTACATTCCTCTGAACCCTGAGCCACGGTAAACCTGCCACTAGCTGCTTTTTGTCAGGTATTGGCTGTAGTGCTGAAAACAGTGAAATAGGGGATACAATTTCTAGTCTCGTATGATTTGGTCTTTTACTTCTTTTTTGAAAATCTGGGACTGGCAAGATGGCTCAGCAGGTAAAGATGCTTTCCACCAAGCCTAACAACCTGATTTGATTCTTGGGACCCACATGGTGGAAGGTGAGAACTCACTCCCACAAGTTGTCCTCTGACTTCCAAATATACACCATGGTATCTGCACATGCCCCTCCCCATACAGTAAATAGGTGGAAGTGTAGTTTGAAAATGAAAAATCAGTACAATAAAACATTTAGACTAATGTTCTTTACAAAAACTGTTAAAAAAACTCAACAGGCACGATGGTGCACCTACAAGCCCAGCACTGAGGAGGCTGAAGCAGGAAGATCACTGAGTTTGAGGCCAGCCTGTGTTACGTAGCAAGATCCTGCCTGAAAATTAAAAATAATAAAAAACCCCAAAATGAATAAAAAGATAAAAAGAAAATGTTGTATCTTCTAACCCAATCCTTTTATTACGCCAGGTAGTCTGCCTTAAGAGGCCACTGTTTCCTGACAAATACTAAGAACTTGAAGAATTGGTATGATTTGTGATCCACTGACATTGGGCTTGTTTCAGTTCCGTTCATGTGTTGTGCTCTCTTCTACATAGAATGTTTTCTCATCTCATGAATGCAGAGGTCTTTTACCATGCCCATCTCTCAGGCCAACTCCCCAGAATGCGGTCTAGACGGTCCTGACTAATGCCTTTCTCCTTGCTACGTGCTCTTATAACACTTTACCTTTTCCATATACTGGTATGCTTTTCTTTATTTGTGTTATTTTTTGATTGCTGCCTTTCCCATCATTAGACTAAAAATTTCATGAGGAGAGCTGGGGAGATAGTAGGTAAAGCATTTGCCATGCAAGCATGAGGATGAGAGTTGGAATCCCCAGCACCCCAAGAAAATGCTTGGCGGATCAGTAATCATAGTACTTGGGAGGTGGAGACAGAATCCACAGAGCAAGATGGTTAGCTAGCCTAGTTGAAGCCAGCAGGTTCAGGTTTGGGTGACATACTGCCTCAATAGTTAAGGTGGAGAGTGATGGAGGAAAACAGTTGACGTCAGCTTTTGGCCTCCACTTGGACATGTGTGCACGTACACGCATGCACACGCACACAAAACCTTCCTCCAAAGTTCATGAGGGAAGAAATGGCATCTCATTTACCATTGTGTTCCTACTGAGAAGGTGCTAAATAAATACATGTTAAATGAACAAATGGCTTTTTTTATTTAAGCTGGAGAGAGAATTCTTCTAAAATGTTTATTTAATTTATATGTATGAGTGTTTTGCCTGCATGTATGTAAGTGCTCTTGCATGTGCAATGCCAGTGAAGGCCAGAAGAGGATGTTAGATCCTAGAACTGAAGGTATGGATGGTTGATAGCTGCTGTGTGGGTGCTGGGAATCGAACTCAGGGCCCCTGCAAGAGCAGCCAGTGCTCTTAACCACTGAGCCATCTCTCCAACCTCCTGTAAATGCAATTTTTAAGAATTACTGCTTCAGATATTATAGATTTTTGTCCCTGGATTAAGTCAGAACACTAGACAGTTGTGTACCTAGACAATCTTACTTTGTTTCTTAGTGTAATTGCTTTTTCTTAATTGAATTTTGATCGCTTGCCCTTGGCTCAAATTGGGCAATGACACTATAAGTGATAAAGTGTCAGATTGGTTTTTATGGATGCTCGTGTGTGTGTGTGTGTGTGTGATTATATTTAATTTAATTCTGCATTAAAATGGAAAATAAATGAGCTGAAAAAGCATGCAACTTCCTAAAGATGATGACAGTTGAGGCACACATAGGCTACATGTGGCTTGCTTTGCAGCAGGTGAAAGGACTACATGCACCAAGGTGAACAGTGGTGAGATTAACAGTGGGCTTTACATACCAATGAGAAGTTTAAAAACAAATTTAAGGAACATTGGCAACTGCTGACATCTGCCAGACAGTACAGATGAGGGCCCCAAATCTCTACAAACACATTGGTTTATAAAAACAAGCCAAAACCTAAGACTCAGGCAACACTGAAGTTTGCTCTTGGGAGGAGAACCTCATTTTATGGTGTTTGAATACACTTTCTCCTACTGGGTAGTTTCCTTTGATGGAAGAATATTTTTTCCCCTCAGTATTATTCATTTTCTTCAATTTTGATTTGTCAGCATCTCCACTTCTGACAATTCTGGCTTATCACTCATCCTGACTGTGGGCTCCAGGGCACTATTGAAGCTGTCACTGGGTCAGACTACTGCTAGCTAGGGACCAGTCTCTGGTTTTTATGGGTACTCTTGAAGACAGTGCCCACTATACTGAGTACTGTCCCTTATCTCAGTTGATATCCGTGAGGGTTTGGAAGAGAGTGCATCTCTTGAGCAGCTCATCTCTTTTTGTCTTAGAAGTGTTGTTGACTTCATCTGATCCTTGTTTTCTGAAGCTCAAGAGCTGAATTTGCAGCTCAAAATTGGAATTTTCTCACATACTCTGCAAAGTAATATCTTTTTTTGTAGTACTGGAGACTGAACCTAAGTGATCCACCTCTGAGACCCCATCTCCAGCCCCTTAAAATTTTTTAAGATAGAGTTTTGCTATGTTGACTGTGCTGTCATTGAACTCTCTAGTTAGGCAGGCGCTGAATTTGCAGTCCTTCTGCCCAGCCTCCCAAGTTAACGGGGATTACAGGTCTGTATTCCCAGACCCAAATAATGAACCTCAGATTTAGCCTCAATGTAAAGTACCCTTGTTTTAACCTCATCTTAAACTTAGGAATTTTAGCTACAATTAATTTGCATACTTTATGGTTGTTCAGTAAGATTCCATAAGTACCTTTCTAGCAATAATATAAGTGGCACTAGAGCTTTAAAAAAGAAATTTGCTTTCTCCTGAAACAAACTCAGTGTGTCTACACTGAGGTTAGAAATAAAGAGAAAAATAAAGTTTATTACATATTGGAAAGGATTCTAGGTATTGAACTTCAAGTAGATTCATTCTAGAGACTACAAAATTGTTCCTTTTGATTTTTTTCTGCTTCTAGTGCAAGATCACAGACTTTATTTAACAAGGAGACCTGAGGTACACACGCTGAAAACGTGGTTCTCAGTCACCTGCTCTTAATCCTCCTCCAGTCTTACAGAGCAGAAAGTTACACTCTTACTGCTGTGTGATTTATGACCTGTGTAGGTATTCTGACTGAAGGCCTTGCTTTTAAAAACCTGACTGGATATCAGTCTTTTTGTTTTCCTTTTATTGCAAAATAAATTTTGTACCACAGTAGAAAACTAAGACAAATTACTTATGACTGGTGTTTGGAGTGATGGCTCAGCAATTAAGAGCGCTTGCTGCACACACACACACAAATAGTAAAATATTAAAAAATAACCATGACTGTTGCTATATGGAAACATCAGATGGCACTTTAGATTGATGAGCAAAGGAAGATTTCTCCCGTGTGAGCGCCAGTCAGATCTTAGAATTCTGAATCTGCTTTTGATTGCCAAGTTGTCTTTTTTGTTGTTGTTGGTTTAGCTATAGAGTGGTTAACCTTTCCTGTGGCCTAACTGCACACACAGCAGAAAGTATTACACCCATTTCATACTTCTTTTTTGGCTGTCACCAAATCTAGGCCTCCACTGTTTTCCATAAGCACTTAGATGAATAATTTCAGATTTGCTTATTGTAGCTCTAGGGCTGCATAGTTTTATTTACATTTTCAGTCAGTGTTAAAGTTTTGATATCCAAGTCACATGACCCCCAATCCAAGGAGAATATCCTTTCAGGTACTCTCAGAAAAAGAAAATTGGGTCTCCTGAAAGAGTTGAGAAGGAAATACTTAAAATGGTCTTATTGCATTGTTAACAGTATTTTTATGGAACAGTTATTGGGCAAGTTAGATTTTGATGAGACAGATATGAGTAAATGTATGTATTGTCTGTAAAACAATAAAGGAATTACCACTTATATGTGGGACACTTTAACATTGAGTTAAATGGAAATTGCAATAGGACTATGGAGGATGTTAGGTCAGTGAGATTTTATTATGTTGCCCATGCGTTTGTACTATGTTTCACTCATGAAGGAATCTTTATTTGGATTGATTGAGACCTTGACAGATTCTGAGATAGGCTTGAGGAGTAAAACAAAAAGTAAAGTAAAAATTGCCATAGGCATAGATGGTTTAAAAAATGAAGGGAGTTTTTGCAAGCTAAATGAATTTGAGAAAGTGTAAGGACATATTAGATAAGGATAAGGGTGGACATTTTGAAGATTGTAGGTATGCAACAGATTTTATGTCTGGTAATTTGGAAAAAAAAAAAACAATCTGATACCTGTGATTCCCATGGTGGAAGGAGAGAATGGACCCCCAAAAATTGTACTTTAAGCTCCATGCACACACTGTGGCAGCACACTGGCACACTTGCATACATGTGCATGAGTGTACATGTGTGTACACACACAGATGTACACACAAACTTTTTTTTAAGTAATTGAGGTTTGGAGAAACGGCTCAGTGGGTAAGAGCATGTGGTACTCCTGCAGAGGACCTGAGTTCAGTTCCTAGTACCCATGTTGAGCAGCTTACAACCACCTCTTAACTCCAGCTCCAGGGGATCCAAAACCCTCTTCTGGACTCTATGGGTACCACACTTACACATGCACTCCCCCCAATACACATATAATTTAAAAAATCTAAAAGAAGAGGAACCATCCAGAATGTAAAATTCCAAAATATGTCAGGTCGCTCTTGCATGGTCTCAGTATGACCAGCCAGTAGTTCTGCATGAGTGGAAATAACTGGTTTAGGTGTGTATGGCAGGGAGTTTGTCCAAGGCTTAATCAAGAGAACTGTACATATGCTGTCTAGGTTAAGACGATCGATGAGAAGAGGTGTGAAAAAAGCCTAGGCCCAAACACAAGTAATC